GGGGGTGGACAGACCTCCTACCCTGACACGTCGATCAAGGAATTGGCCGTTTTCGGCTCGCGAGAGGACGTCGCGGCCGTCATTTTTGCGGTTCCAGGTCCGTCGGTTTCGGTCCCGGGTCGTGTTCACTAAGGGGAGGTTTACTAAAGGGAGGTTTGTCCACCGCCGACAGACGACCCAAGCGAGTCCAAGATGCCTCCGAGTTTGCCGAAAACGCTTCCGACACCGCCGAGGACGGCCTCAAGATGTCCCAAGATAGCGTCCATACGGCCTCAAAGGGCCCAAGACGGCCTCCAGAGGGTCGCAATATTCCTTCCAAAAGGCTCCCAGAGCGCTCTGAGAGTACGCCCAGCAGGGCCTCCCGGTGCAACGATATAGTGTTTTCTGTCGTTGTTTGTTGTTTTTGCATTTCGAGCATACCCGACTTTGGACCCTTGCAGCGTCCACGACGGGCTCAACAGCTCCCAAGATCGCCCGGCCGGGCCAAGAGACCTCCGAAGAAAATCCCAACGCGGCTCCAGAGATCCCTTAGGCGGCACAAGACGGCCCCAGAGAGCCCCAAGACGGCCCAGGCCGGGCAAGAAGGCCTCCTGCGTGCCATCCGGAGGTGGTTCTACGTCTTCCCGGAGCGACCCGGGGCCCTTCCCACCTTGCGCACAGAAGCGGGAACCATGTGAGGAAATGCAGTTCTGCTTCTTCACCTGGTTCCGGCGCCCTAGGGCTAGCCCTGAAGGCCTCCCGGGTGCCATTTGGGGGCGATTCCGTGTCCTCCCGGGGCGGCCTCCGGCCCAAGAGGCGCCCAAGATGGCCCAGAGATGGCCCCGCCGCGCTCCTTTGCCAGGGCACCTGCGGATTATTTGCTCCACGGGGACACGCTAGTCAGCTACAATGCTGGGATCAGCGCGTGCGAGAAAGGCGATCAGTGGCAGCGGGCTTTGGCGCTGCTCGTCGAGATGTGGCAGACGAAACTCGTGCCCGACGTTATCAGCTTCAGCGCTGGGATCAGCGCGTGCGAGAAAGGCGATCAGTGGCAGCGGGCGTTGGCGCTGCTCGTCGAAATGGGGCAGGTGAAGCTAGTGCCCGACGTTGTGACTTACAGCGCTGGGATCAGCGCGTGCGAGAAAGGTGATCAGTGGCAGTGGGCTTTGGCACTTCTCAGCGAGATTCGGGAGGCGAAGCTGGAACCCAACGTCGTAAGCTTCAGTGCCGGGACCAGCGCGTGTGAGAAAGGCGATCAGTGGGAGCGGGCCCTGGCGTTGCTCAGCGAGATCTGTGTGGCAAGACTGGAACCCAGCGTCATGAGTTACAGCGCTGGGATCAGCGCTTGCGCGAAAGGCGCGCAGTGGCAGCGGGCTCTGGCGCTGCTGAGCGAGATGTGGCAGGCGAAGCTAGTGCCCGATGGCATCTTCCCCTGCACTGCAGGAACACGCGCGAGCGAGAAGTTGTCCTGGCTCGGCTCCCCAGCGGCGTCCATAGGCGCCATGAGGCCTCCCGAGACCCCCATGAGTTGCCAAGTGAGTGCCCAGATGCCACCAGATGCGGCCAAGACCGCGCAAGAGGGCCCTAAGACAGCTCACTATGGCCTCCAAGACGGCTTCAGGGCCGCGAAGACGCCCCGAAGATTCCAAGAAGACTCCAAGAAGACTCGCAAGAGGACCTCTAGTCGCCAAAATTTGTAATTTCCCTGAGCATGTTCATTGGTTTTCGTATGCTGGATGTTTCGGGCCTCGGGTCGCCCGAGGAGGCCCAGGAGGCACCGAGCATCGCCCCAAGACGGTCGCCCTGGTCTTTCCTACCATGCCGGGAACGCTGCATGCGAGAAGGGTTTCTGCATCAGTGGAGTCCCCGACGGCCGCGGGCCGCTCGCGACGGCGCCCCGGACGCTCAAGAGGGCGCCCCGACGGCCCCAAGACGGCTCCGAGACGCTTAAGAGACCGCCCCGACGGCCCCAAGACAAGAGGCCGCCCCAACGGTCCCATAGGCCCCCAAGGCAGGCCAGGATGTTCCCAAGACCGCCTTGAAGGACTTCTCAGGAGAGCCCCAAGAGGCAAAAATCGCCACATTCACTTCGGAAAACGTACATGTTGGGCATGCTTGTGCTTCTCGTCTCCGACGCGTCCACGACGGCCAGACCGGCCCCCAAGATCGCTCCAAGATGTCCCCGTGAGGGCCCCAATACGATCCAAGACGGCCCCAGGACGGTCCAAGAGGCACCCAAGACGACCCAAGAGGCACCCAAGACAGCCCCAAGAGCCGCCCAAGACGGCCCAAGACGGCCCCAAGACGGCCCAAGAGTCGCCCAAGACAGCCCAAGACACCCAAGACGGCCCCAAGGCGACCAAACAGGCACATCAGACGGCCCAACAGGGCCCCAAGGGGCCCCCAGGAAGCCGAAAAGAAGCCCCAAGATTCCCCCAACGGCCCCCAAGAGGCCCCAAGTTGCTCCAAAATTGCCTCCAAAAGAGGGGGGGCGGACGAGAGGCGAGAGGCATATCGCAAGCCCCAAACAGCCGGCCCCCATGACGCCCTAAATGGCCTCGAACCTGCCTCCGTGAGAGGGGGGCGGACGGGAGGCGAGAGGCAGGTAGCAGGCCCATAAAGAGCCGCTTTGGACCCTCCGAGGGGCTTGGATGCTCGCCCTCTGGGGGCGTCGTCATAGCGTTCACGGCTGGCGGTCGGAGATCGTGCAGATGAAGGGTCCAGAGACAGGAGGAGGAGGAGGAGGAGGAGGAGGAGGAGGAGGAGGAAGAGGAGGAGGACGAGGAGGAGGAGGAGGAGGAGGAGGGCGAGGAGGAGGAGGAGGAGGAGGGGGAGGAGGACAGTGAGGAGGAGGAGGAGGAGGAGGAGGAGGAGGAGGCCCCAGAAAACCCCGAAGAGAGCCCCACCAAGGTCTAGATGACGTACGACCCTCTGAACGCGAAGACTTCAAGAGCAAACGTCGGTGCACCGAAAGCTCTGAGCGCCGAGGCTTCCAAGCGCTAGCGCGCAGACTTCAAGAGCGAACGGTGACGCACCCAAAGCTCTGAGCGCCGAGGCTCCCAAGCGCTAGCGGTGGCGGACAAGAGCGCTTACCGCCAGCACCGCTGCTCCGCGGCGCTGGAAGAGCAGGAGGAGGATGAGGAGGAGGGCGACGTCGCCAGCGACAACAGAGATGACGACAACGACGACGACGACGACGACGACAGCGACAGCGACGACGACGCGACTGAGCCGACAACTACGATCACAACGACGACGACGTCAAGCCAGTGTGCCAGCGCGGATCCCGAGCAGCAGCGCCATGCACTGTGAAGATGGAGCAGGGTGGCCCCGGACAGTCTGAGAAAATTTGCACCCGGGGGCGGTTTGTTCAGAAATTATCCGGGCCCACTTGTGCCCAAGTCAATTCATAGATTTTGTCGTGGCCATAGGCCACGGGTCAGCCCTAGGCCCTAGTCAGCTACAGCGCTGTGATCAGCGCGTGCGAGAAGGGCGAGCAGTGGCAGTGGGCTGTGGCGATGCTCACCGAAGTGCGCGAGGCGAAGCTGGAACCCGATGCCATCCCGTCTGCAGGAGCCCGCGGGTTGCAAAGGGGGTCCTGGGACCATGCAGAGCCATGAGAGCCTCCACTGGGCCATTGCAGGGGCCCCGCAACCTGCGACGTGGTCCTCGCGCTCCTTGGCGTCCAGGCGCGGCCGCAGAGATCCCCGGGCATTCCCCCAGCAACTCTCGCGGAGGCCCGCTCCCTCCAAGACGGCGCCGAGGCGGCTCTCAGAGCCCCCCACACGGTGCCGCGAGGTGCCCCGACGAGGCGAGCTCCTACGACCAAGTTCGAGTTGTGCTGCCAGAGTGAAAATACATGCGTCCGTTGGCTGGCAGTGCAGGTGAAGTGTATGTTGTGCAAGCGATGCGGCGTAAACTAGATAGTGCAAAAGTAGCGGTGTGAGCTATGTGGCGCAAGCTATGTTGTGGAAGTTCTGTGGCGTGTCTTGTGCTGCGAGAGCTATATGGTGCGAGCCACCTGGTGTGAGCCATGTTGTGTCAATCGGCCATGGTGCGTGAGCATTGCAGTGTGAGTCATCTGGTGTGGGCCACAGCCTGCCAAAGTCAGCGAGCGAAGAACGGTACAACATAAACTTTTTCGCTGTCGGGGTCGCCTGTCCCTGGGCGGCTGGAAAGTTTATACCCCTACGGTGCCACCATAAGGGTATAAACTTTCCAGACGCCCTGGGACAGGCGCCCCCGACAGCGAAAAAGTTTACTATATACCGTTCTTCGCCCTTTAACAAAGGCATGGCAAGACCTGTGCGGTGAACGTCGAGCATCACAGGCTATGCGGTGCAAGCCACGCTCTGTAGCCGTGCGGCGCAAGCTCTGCGGCGCAACGCATTCGGCGGTAAGCTGCGCGGGGCACGCCGTGACGCGCAGGCGATGGTGGGAATGAGCGCACGAGCCGCCCACGGGGCGCCCGCGAGCGGGCACGGTCGCCCACGAGGCGAGAGACCCCGGCAACGAACCGCCCGGAGGAGGAGGAGGAGGAGGAGGAGGAGTGAGGAGGAGGAGGACGGAGGAGGAGGAGGAGGAGGAGGAGGAGGAGGAGGAGGGGAGGGGGGAGGAGGAGGAGGAGGAGGAGGAGGAGGAGGAGGAGGAGGAGGAGGAGGAGGTGGAGGAGGAGGAGGAGGAGGAGGAGGATGAGAGGAGGAGGAGGAGGAGGAGGAGGAGGAGGAGGAGGAGGAGGAGGAGGAGGAGGAGGAGGAGGAGGAGGAGGAGGAGGAGGAGGAGGAGGAGGAGGAGGAGGAGGAGGGAGGAGGAGGAGGAGGAGGGGGGGGAGGACGAGGAGGAGGACGAGGAGGAGGAGGAGAGGAGGAGGAGGAGGAGGAGGAGGAGGAGGAGCCCACCAGGCAGAACGGGCACCCACCAGGCGCCCACGAGCTGGCACGGGCGCCAACGAGGCGAGCACACGAGACGTCAGACCGGTTGCGTCGTAGAGGGTGGGGGGGCTCTAAGCGAACGCGTCGACGGGGACATGCGCGTGTTTTTGCGTGTGTTCTGTCCTCTCCTCCTCCTCCTCCTCCTCCTCCCCCCTCCTCCTCCTCCTCCTCCTCCTCCTCCTCCTCCCCCTCCTCCTCCTCCTCCTCCTCCTCCTCCTCCTCGCCTCCGGCGAATCACCGCGGGAGAGTTGTGGCAAGAGCTCTGCCAGACTATCGGACCACGTGTTCCCCCCAGCCGTTGTTGAAACCGTTCGGGGAACACTTGTGGAAGGATGGCGAGGAAGATCAGGAGGAGGAGAAGGAGGAGGAGGAGGAGGGGGCTCTGGGGGCACTCGTGGTGTCTCCTGGGAGCTTCCTGGGAGCCTCTTGAAAGCATGTTTTGGGATTCCTTGGGCCTCTTCGGGGCCTTTGGGTGCTTCTCGGAGGCCTCTTTGCCGTCTTAGGGCGCTCGGGGCCCGTCTCACGCCGGCGGACGCCGTATTGGGGGCCTCTTTGGGCCGACTTGGGGCTTGGGCGATTTTGGGGCGATCTTTGGGGGTTCTTGGGCCGTCTCGGCCCGTCGGAAGGCCGAAAAGAAACACATTAAACTCATTCCAAAAAACTAAAGAAAATCCATGATTTTGGCCCTGGAGACCCTCTTGGGGGCCTTTTGGGCTGTCTTGGAGGCCTCTATAGGGCCTCTCGCGGACATTTTGGGCCGTCGTAGGCCATCTTTAGGTCATCTTGGGCCGTTTTGGGTGCATCTTGGGGTCACGTTCTGGTCTCTTGGGGCCATTTTGGCCGTCTTGGAGGCCATGTTGAGACATCTTGGCCGTTGAAGAGGCCATCATGAGCCTTCATGAAGGTGTCCTGTTTGTGGACGTTTAAGTTGTTTGGGGTCCTTTCGGGTGGCCAGCGCACTTGGCCCAAGCCCCACGGGGAGTTCGTTGGTAAACCAAAACCAAGCCGTAATTAGGGGATTTAGCACGCTAGACACCCCTGTGGTTAGACCGCAGGGGGGCGGCGGAGTTGTCGAATGGCCTTCGGCCAATCCCGCCACCGTGCCTGGGCTGTGGGTCATGGGCAGCCCCAGGGTGATTAGCCCGACGGATCCCTGGCCCTCCTGGAACAGCGCCCAAATGCCCCCCCCGGATGCGGATGCGCAGACGGCGCCCGCAGGCCAGGCGAACCTCAGGAGAGCCGAACGAGCTCAGAATGACCCCCTGACAGAACTCCTCCTCCTCCTCCTCCTCCTCCTCCTCCTCCTGTACCTCTCCTCCTCCTCCTCCTCCTCCTCCTCCTCCTCCTCCTCCTCCTCCATTTTGGCTCAAGATGCTTTGTGACTCTGGGAGCGATCGGACGGGGCTAGAACGAGGATCATTTCGTTTCGGAACGCTTTGAGAAGGCCGCGGCGCCCAAAACATCACCAAGGTCCGCCGGATCTCCGAGATTCTCGATTCATCCGTACCCGATGTTATCCTCGTCCTAGCTTCGCCTGCAGCGACGCTTGGGCGGGCCGTGTCTCCAGCCCGCCTTCTTTACCTTCATCGCCTCTCGCGGTGGACCACGGCCTGGGGGGCCCGATGTCCCTCGCAGGTGGCCCGAGAACAGTAGTTTCAAGTCGGGCATGTCCCCTCTACAGGAGGAAGATTCAATAATAGTTGAAACATTGCGTTGTGACGATTTTTCGGTCTCTTTTTGATCGTGATTGAGTTGTTGTTTGATGTTGATCATTATTGACAATGCTTCAGTTTTCTTGAACAGTCCGCCTGTAGGAGGACGTGCCCGACTTAACAGTAGCGGAGCACGACAACGGGCCTCTCTGAGCGGCCTGCTTCTGCGATACCCTGTTCTCCTGGGCATCCTCGGAGCGCCTCCAGCAGATCCCTCCGCGCACGCGCCTCGATCCTGGCCCGTGGCGTCTCGCTCCTCTCCCTTCGCTCCCTTGCTCGTCGCTTCTCGCTCAGAGCTCCTCCGGGAGACGGCCCCCCGAGGGGGCCTCTCGCACGAGCCTGGGGCGGCCGGGCAGAGAGCCTCCCGAGAGCCCCGGAGACAGGCAAACAGTGAGGCAAGGACGAAGCAAGGCAGACAGTCTGGCTACTCCAGATGTCGTAATAAGAGGGAGGGGGTCTGGACCCTCCCAGACGAGCCATCTCAGACCTCCCCCGTGGGGGAACCCTCCAAAACATCGTCCCCAGACCCCCCCAGGCCCTCCAAGATAGCCTGGAAGAGACCCCCCCCGAAATGAGACCCCCTCTCTTTTATTACGAAATCTGGAGTAAGCGCTATCAGGTAAGGCCACGCGTCAGCCCTAGTTTCCGTATGTATACTGCGGGCACGCGTGCGTGCGAAAAGGGCCTGGGGATCGAAGGCGCCCAAGCTCGCTGCGGAGCAGCTCCTGAGCCCTCGGCGAGGAGCGAACGAGATTTAACACGAAGGTCATCACCGTGTTAAATTGTGTCCGCGGGCTCCACGCTAGTCGAAGACGCTTCCGAGACGGCCAGCGAGCGCTCCAAGACGCCCAAGAGCGCCTGAAGAACGCCCCAGAGTCTTTCAATCATACCTTTAGGAACAGCCCAGGAGCACTAAGAAGACCGCCCGGGAAGGCCGATACCATTGATTCTACATCCGTTTTTCAAGGTTTCTTCGGACTCTCCACATTCCGCAGCGCGGCAAAGGGGACGGCGGCAGACGTGGCAACGGCAGCGCTGGCTGCTGCGATGGCGGCTGCAGACGGAGACAACGGGACGAGACGGACCGACCCAGCTCAACACCTCAGTCTCACGGGTCGGGTCTGGAGCCCAGGTCGTGATCGTGTTGCGACGTCCTGACGGAGGGCGGTAGGAGGAATCCCGACCCCCAGGCATCGCCAACGAAGCGTTATGAGGTATGAGCGCTTCTTCCTCGGGTCTGGCCTCAGAGCCAGCTTCTTCTGGGTCCGACCTGGCTCGGCGAGATGTGACAACCGAACTGGGGCCCTCATTTTTCGAGTGCGCCTGGCGGTACCACCTACTCCCCCCGCAAGGGGACGCAGCCCACGGGTCAGCCCCAGTCTCTTCTACAGTGCAGCGCCTCCTGCGTGCCAGAAGGGCCTGTGTCAAAAAGGGCGTGTCTGGGGCTCTGGCAGGCCTGGGCCATACAAGAGGGCCCGGGCGTTCCAGGACGGCCCAAGAGTTACCAGCCTGGAACATAGCCCTATCCCTATGCTGGGCATCTCCTCGTCACGATGCGAATCTTATGGATCCCCTTATTTTTTGAGGGCGAATCCCTAAGATTGTCATCGCCTCTTGGCGTGTCAATCTGAGGGATAGGGATACGCTCGAGGCTGGTAAAAGAGGGCGCCAAGAGGGTCCAGGATGACTTGGGACGACCCCAGGCGGGACGGCCCCCGAGGCGGCTCAGTCGGGACGACCCAGGCGGCACACGGCCCTACGGGGCCCCGAGGTGGCCCAAGAGGACCCCACGAGGCCCCCCCACGTTCGCGCGCCATCTCGGGCCCCTGACGCTCAGCATCGCCTCGAGGTAGACAGCCTCGAGGTCCCCCCCCAACATCGCCTCGAGGTAGACAGCCCAGCAGGCCCCCGCCGGCCCGATGACAGTTCCGAGAAGAACCCAAGAGAGCCCCAAGAGGGGCAGCTCGGACCGACATGACGCACCCTCCGCCCCAAGAAAAGACCGCCAGCGGGCCCCCGAGAAGATCCCACGGGCGACCCAAGAGGAGACCAGAGATGTTCGGCCGCACGCGCGCCGAGACCGTTGAGACGGTTGTGCGCTGGCCTCCTCCCTTGCCTCCCCAATCTCGCTCCTCGCGTCTCGCCGCCCTCTCCTCGCTCCCTTTCCTCTCTCTCTCCTCTCTCTCTCTCCTCTCTCTCTCTCTCTCTCTCCTCGCTCCCTGCTCCTCTCTTCTCGATGTTCCTTGCTCCTCCCACCTCTCTCCTGGCCCCGCGCCTCTGTCTCTCTCTCTCTCTCTCTCTCTCTCCGCGGCGCCGGCACAAAGCGGGAAACCGCGCACCTCGCACCCGCCGCGCAGCACCGAACGCAACTGAAAACACGCCCCTCCTCACCCGCCCACATTCAGAGCGTGAATTACCTACCCCGCTTTCGCTTCCAGGCAAAACCAAGTCATACCACGCGCCTCCTCGTCAAGCGGCCTGACCAGTACCGGCCGTAGTTTGGCATCGCTTGGTATCTCTTGGAAGCGAGGGTGGTCAAAAGCGAGGTAGGTTTGTTTGCCCCCTACACATGCCTCGCCGAAAATATCCCTCCTTGTCCGTTGTCGGATCCTGCTCCAAAGAAGCCTTCGGACGCCTCCTTGCACGAGCCGCCCCTGGACGTGGCGAAGAACCGGCGAACGCAGGTCTAAGCTTGGCTTTCGCCGCAGCTCCTCTTCTTGTGCCCCTCAGAACCAAGCAACCCCGCAGGCACGCCCGGAACACCAAACCCGACGCACGGGATCGCAAGCCCCATGCCACGTCGCACCTCAAGCAAACGCGCTGACATCTCCACAACATTCCACCGACACCCGAGCACATCTCCACGCACCCGCAGTGAACGCACAGCAAACAGGCTCGCATGCTCGGCATGCTCACCCTCAAAATGTCCGCACCCCGCATCCAACGCAGTCCGCCGACCACCCGCCGAAGCGGTCGCCCAACTATTCTGGCGTATTCTCTGCACCGCCCCCGCTCTGCCCCTTCCGAGGCGTTGGCCGACATCCCACGTGATCTTGATGCCACCGAGCAGAAGAGCAAGCGACAACGCAACCGGTCAAGCGAGCTGGCGAGCTGGCAGGCATGGTAGTAGGAACGTTGGCCAGCAGGCAAACAGAAACACGTTGTATAGAGTTGTTTGGGCAGCAGGCTAGCAGCCACGCGCGCAAGGCAGCGCGCAAGCATGACAGCAGGCAAGCGGTGTCCTCCCCTGCGTGCGAAGCAGCTGTCGTGGACGTTTGTCCACGGGTCCGTCGTAGTCAGCTACATGGCTGCGACTTGCGCGTGTGAGAGATGCGGCCAGTGGCAGCATGTGTTGTCGTTGCTCAGCGAGATGCGGGAGTGCAATGTGGAGACAGACGGCATCAGTTACAACGTGTGCACCACAGCGTATGAAAGGTCGTCTCCCGACATGGCAGGATTTCCAGGCTATCTTGGGATCGGTCTCTCGCAATTTCGCGTGTCTTGAGAAGCACTGTGCGTGTGAGAACTTGTTGGGCAGCCACTGTGATTCCGTGGGCAGACATCCGTATTGTGAATTTGACAGCGGCTTCAATCGCGCAGGAAGTCATTTCGGATAACATTGCACGGATCCGCTTTGGTCGACTACAGCGGTGAGATCAGCATTTGCGAGAGAGGCGTGTAGTGAAAGCGGGTCATGCCGTTGCTCATCGAGATGGCGATGCCAAGTTGGAGCCCAGTGTCGACAGCTGCTCCGCGAGTTGCGGGATGCGATGTCGGAGCCCAAGGCCATGTGTACCATTTCTGAGCGAATCGCGTGCCAGACTTTTTGGGCCCCGGAAACGGCAGGTCCGTTTTTTCACCGTTTCCAGAAAAAATGTCCCTTGAACATGGAAACGGCAAAAAAACGGCGACCGGAAACGGCAAACAAAACGGCTCCAGGATTGGAACCGGAGCCGGAACCGGTCAAACAACGGCGACGGAACCGGTAAAGAAACGGCGTCGGAACGGGCGAATGAAACGGCAAAACGGAACCGGTAAAAAAACGGCCCTGTCGTTTCCAGGGCCCACTAAGGTGCCAGATAGGCAGGCAGTGCACTAGCTCCCGTGCCCCCGACACTGGGCCAGGATGCCCCAGGGGCGCCCAGGGCTGCTCGTGAGATGATCCAGTGCCCGCACGAGGGCCCAGTGGAGTTCACGACGCTCCAGAGAGGGTCCCTTTGTGCCCGAGCGGGTCTGCGACTGCCCCACGATGTTTCCGAGGCAACCCGAAGCCGCGTCTCAAGCCTTCCTCCGCGCTTTCCTCATCTTGCTCCTCGCTCCTCGCCCTTCTCCCTGATCCTCGTTTTGAGCCCTCCTTTTTCCCACCGCCGTCCTCGAGCCTGGCTCCTCGCTCCCTGCGCTTCGCTTCGCCCTCCTCGTTCCCCTCGCGAGCGCCAGGTTGCGTCGGCCAGTTGGCAGGAGCACAGAGAAGCAGCGCCCTGCAGGCTAAGAGGCAGAAGTAGGGAACAGCAGCAGCACGCAGCCATCCGCAAGCACCGCCAGCGGCAGCACGGAAGCAGCAAACACCAGCAGCATGGGACGGGCAGCAGCATCCTGCATCTGCAGGCAGCAACAGCAGAGCCACATCTGGGGCCCAGCGTCGTCGTGAAAGTCCTCCCGCGACAGCTCCGCCCCGAGCCACCGTGCCATCTCGGACAAACCTCGAGGCCAGCATGCTGCGGGTCAGCACCAGTGCACCTCTGCGTGCGAGAACGTACGGTGCGTCAATGGCCGTTCGTTCCGTCCCGTAGACCCCGAGAGGAGGAGGAGGAGGAGGAGGAGGAGGAGGAGGAGGAGGAGGAGGAGGAGGAGGAGGAGGAGGAGGAGGAGGAGGAGGAGGAGGAGGAGGAGGAGGAGAGGCCGAAACACGTCCCCGGGGCAGTTTGTACAGCACTGTGGGCCTCTGGCCACGCCCCATCAACGGACCAACGGCGCCCAGAGGCAGCCGAAGAGGCGCCCAAGACGGCCCCAACGGCCTAAGAGGCCCTCCAGACGACCCAAGAATAGATCCACACTGGCCCCCAAGACAGCCCCGAAAGGCAAAAATGGTTTCATTCCCTAGGAAAGTTTGCATTTTCTAGCTTATCATTTTTTGTCTCCGCAACGGCCTAAGAGGCCCTCAAGACGACCCAAGAACGATCCACAATGGCCCCCAAGACAGCCCCGAAAGGCAAACATGGCTTCATTCCCTTGGAATTGTTGCATGTTCTAGCTTGGCATTTTTTGTCTTCGCAGCGTTCCAGCAGGCTTTGGAGGCTCCCTTGATTCCCCAAAGACAGCCTCGGCTCCCATGAGAGCCCCAAGACGGTCCAAGAGGGCCCCATGACGGTCCAAGAAATGCCCAAGACAGCCCACGAGGGCCCCAAGAGGCCCCTAAGAGGGTGAACTCGAAGTGACATTTTGCGGCTTCCGCTCCGGGGTGATCCCAGACGCCGCCAGCAGGCCCCCAAGATGCCCCTAGAAGCCCCAGGAGGCCCCAAAGACTTTCAGGCCCCACGAGGGCACGAGAGGCCCCAGAGCACCCCAAAAAACAGCTTCGAAGGGGCTTTCGAGGGAAAATCCCTATGGAGCTATGTAACTGTGCCGGCCACCCAAGAGAGCCCCATGCATGAGCGAAGGAGACAAGATGTTTGGCCACACCCGAGCCGAGGCCATGGCGACATGCGTGTGCTGGCTTCTTCTCATGCCTCCTTTCTCGGTCCTTGCTTCGCTCCATGCGCACCTCTTCTCCCCTCTCTCCTCTCGCCTCCCTCAACTCGCCTCCCTCGCCTCAGTTCTCGCTCGACCTCGCCTTTCCACCTCTCTCCTGCCCCCTCGCTTCTCCCTCCTGGCTACTGGCGGCGGCCTCCCCTCTCCTGTTCGGCTCTCCTTTCTCCTTCCTCGCATCTTTTTGTTTTTTCTCCGTCTCTCTCTCTCTCTCTCTCTTTCCGCGGCCGTCGCTCCTCCCGTTTCGCACTGTGCTCCTCGCTGATCGCTCCTCGATTTCCCCACCTCCCCCCTCGGCCCTGACTCATCGCTCCTTGCTACTCGCTCTCTCACGAGCTCCAGGTTGCGTTAGCTGGCAAGGATACCAAGACGCAGCACTCTGCAGCCTCGAGCAGCAACAGCGAGCAGCAGCATTTCACAACAGGCAACGGCGGTACAGCAAAAGTAGGCAGCAGCAAGAACATGCCGCAGGCAGAGGTAAGCTGCATTTGCAGGCAGCAACAGCAGAGCCGAAGTTCGGACCCAACGTCATCACGAAAGCCGTTCGGCTACATCTCTGTCCTGGTCCAACGTGCCATCTCGCACTTGTGTCGTGGGCATTCGGCCACGGGTCAGCCCTAGTCAGCTACAGTGCTGGGATCAGCGCGTGCGGGAAGGGCGCGCAGTGGCAGCGGGCTGTGGCCCTTCTCAGCGAGGTTCGCGAGGCGAAGCTGGAGCCAACCGCCATGAGCTACTGCGCCGTGATCAGCGCGTGCGAGAAGGGCGAGCAGTGGCAGCGGGCTCTGGCGCTGCTGAGCGAGATGTGGGAGGTGGACCTGGAGCCCAACGTCATCTCCTCTACATATTGCTCGGTGCGTTACGCGCGAGTTGGGCGAGCAGTCCCTCTGGCCTTGAGGGGGCCCAGTGCGCCCAGTCGCCCACAGATACCCGAAGAGGCCCCGAACAGACCTACGGTAGGTTCGTGTCGTGTCGACTTGCGGCGAACCCGCCGCCAGCGCTCAACGTTGAACGCCGCCGGCGACCCAGAATCGGTCGAAGTGAACGATCTGACGTTTCGGAAACCGCCGACCGATCGTTCAAGGCGGAACGAACCGCGCAGTGTCAAGCCAACGCCGAAGTCGGCACGACGCGAACCTTCAGTGATGGAGGGCGCTCTCAGACGGTCCAAGTGCACCGCGAGGGGGCTCCGAGATGACCCTGCAGGCTTACAAGGCGGGCCCCCAGACGCCAGAGGGGCCACATATGGCCCCCGGGCGAGCTCCACGAGACCTCTGGAGGAGCCGCGGCGAGCCTCAACCGATGCTCAACATCGTGAAATGTTCCCGTGTGGGGTGTTCGTAATATCGGGCCTTCTGCTCACGAGAACATTTCGAGAAGGAGCAAAAGACGCCATAAACATAAACTTTTCTGGCGCTCCACGCGGATCCAAGAAATCCACACGGAGCGCCAGAAGTTTATGATTGTGTTGTCTGTGTTGATGGGCTCCATATGTTTCAGACACTGCGGAATTGGCCCCTGAGAAGCTCCTAGACGGCTCCAGACGATCCCACGATGGCCCAGGATTGCCCTGCCTGGCCTCCAAACCAGCCCCGAGGCGGCCCCATGATAGCCCAAGATCGTGCCAGCATGATTCCGAGAGCTCGTCAGACTGCCCCCGTGCTTCCAAAATTGACACCCAGAAGCCCCAAGTGACGCCAAGGCAGCCCAAGCCGGCCCACGAGGGCCCAAGAGAGTCCACGAGGGCCCAAGTTGGTGCCGAAAGTGTTCCAGGATCCAGAGTCCCCGCAGCAGATGCAGAGTCTCCGAGTATATGATACAAACGCGGCCCGGTGCAGAACACCCGAGTCGATCAGACCACCTACTGCTTTTTGAACATGCCATGTCAGCATCCTCGGCTGCTGGCCTGTTTATACTGAGATGCACCTGTCTACATCCCAGCCTGGTTTCCTCTATTGGAGAGAGCCCCGTGCGTGTGGGACAGTTCCCTTGACCGAGTGGATTCTCGAAGCCTCTGGGGCGCCGACGCCGCCGAATGGACCCGTCCAGCGCCCCCAACGGAGCAGTCCCGAGAGCTCCGCAGGGCTGTGGGGGCGCTCCGCAGACGCCGTCAGAGGGCCTCCCGCGGCCCGAGTAAGCCTGCAGACGCCCCAAGATGTCACCACCCGCCAAACCACCCCAACCCAACCCGAAGGCTCAGATTTACCCTCGAGTTTCAGTGGGGGGGGGTCGGGAAACATCGAAAAAACACATGTGGAACCCTTACCCCCCCCAACCCGGAATTCGGGTCTTCGGGTTGGGTTGGAGTGGTCTGGTAGGTAGTCAAGATGGTGCCCAAGCTGGCCCCGAGGGGCCCCCACTTTGACCTCGCAGGCTGGTCACATCGAGTGTTGATCGGTTGGTTCTCGCACCCAGGGCCGATGGGCGCACGGCTTCTTTCCAGCAGGCGATGGTAAGTGTATGTGTCAGCGCCGGCCCGATGGCTCTCGAGAAGCCCCAAGGGCCCTCGAGGTTTGGTCGGTTCTCGCACATCTTCAAGCGCTCTCCGCCTCGGCTCCGGATGGCTCCCCCGAGGGCCCCAGACGCTCCCGAGAGCAGAGGCCCCAGGAGGCTCACGGGAGCCCCCAGTCGCCCCCGAGACACCCAGCCCCCCGAATTTGCTGCACCAGCATGGCCTCGATGCCGCCTCCGACCGCCCCCATCCCACCCCACAGCAGCCCCCGTGGGCTACAAGGTCCGCCCAGGTGGCTCCAGTAGGGCCCCGAGGGAGCCAAGAAGACGCGCCCCAAAAGGCCCGAAGAGGGCACCTGGAGGGCCTCATAGGAACGACCCACAAGGTGGCCGGGTGTTCGACCACACGCGCGCCGAGGCCACCGGGACATTCGCAAGGTGGTCGTTTCTTAAGCCTTCCTCCTCTCTCCTTGCGCCTCGTTCCACGCTCCTCGCTACTCGCCGCGCTCTCTCTCTCTCTCTCTATATATATATATACACATTTCTTCGCTCCTCGCCTCCTCTCTCTCATGGGTCCCCTCTTCTACTCCTCGCTTCTCGCTACTCTTTCCTGAAACGTCGGTTCTGCCTCTTGGCTACTGGCGCTTACCTCCCCCTCCTTTCTCGTCGGTTCTCCGTCATCCCCAGCATGCTTCTTGGGATTCCCGCGGAGAGCTCTCGGGAGCCTCCAAGGAGGGCACTTGCGCGGCCTCCTGGGAGCCTGTTCGAACTTCCTGTGCCGTCTCGGAGGCCTGTTGGGCCCTCTGGGGGGGGATTTCTGGGCCTCTTGGGCGGTGAGCTCGAAAGGTCGATTCGTGTTCCCGCACTGGGGCCCGACTTACCGAGTTCGTGGGGCCTTCTTGGGCCGTCTTGGAGGCCTCTTGGCCCATCCTGTAGACCTCTTGGGACGTCTCGGCACCCTCTTGCGGGCCTCTGAGGCCGTCTAAGCTCCAGACGAACGCGCAGGAACATCCCCGCGCCCACCGGCCCCATCCTCAACACACTACCAGATAACATTCTCACTCGGCCCCGGCGAAGAATTGCTAACATTATCCCGGCGACCCGCCCCGCTGCAGTTGCGATGAACACGAAGCGCGGCGTAAGAAACGGTTTCTGTCCACACCATGTCGTGCCTACATGGGTGTGTTTCCATTGACACCGCATCCAACACCGCGTTCTTGCCTTCAGGCCTGCTTGCTTGCATCCCTCGCCCACCTCCCCCTCCAGCGGCCAACTCCTCCATCCACACCGCCCCCTCCATCCACACCCCCCCGCGAGGCCCCGGAGACGATCCACTCCCACGTCCACACCATGGCGGGCAGATTCCGCGGCCAGAAGGCCGCGGGTCAGACCTAGTCTATACTACATTGCAGGGCCCAGTGCGTGCCAGAAGGGCGCAGGCCCCAATGCACCGAAACCGCCCCGGGCTGGCCCCGGGCCGCCCCGGGCCGCCCAGGCAGGCTCCAGGACATGTCGAGAGGGCCCCCAGAAGCCCCCAAGACGGCCCCAGAGAGCCCCGGCACGCTTAAAGATGGGCCCAAGACGCCCGAGATTCGCCCCAGACGGCCCAAGAGGCGTCCAAGACGCCCGAAGAGGCCTCCCAAGAGGCCTCCCAAGAGGGCCCCGAGCGACAGAAATCGTCGATTTCTATTGTGTTTTTCGATGTTTTCGGCCTCCTCGCCTCTTCGGCTTCCCGACGCTCCAAGACGGCCCAAGAAGTCCCCCCGACCGCTCCAAGACGGCCGAAGAGGACCCCAAGAGAGCCCCAAGACGGGCCAGGAGGGCCCCCAGACGGTCCCAAGACGCCCCAGGACGGCCCCAGGACGGCCCAGGAGGCGCCCAAGACGGCCCAAGAGGCACCCAAGACGGCCCCAGGAGCGGCCCAAGACGGCCCAAGACAGCCCAAGAGGCGCCGAGGCGGGCCTCAGACGGCCCCAAGACGGCCCAAGAGGCACCCAAGACGGCCCGAGAGGGCCCTAAGAGCCCCCCCGGGAGGCCCAAAAGAAGGCCGAAGAGGCTCCGAAACGGCCCCCACGAAGCCTTCAGTGCCTTCAGAATTCCCTCCAGGAGCGGGGGAGCGGACGAGAGGCGACAGGCATATCGCAGGCAAAAACGCCCCAAGAGATCCCCAAACGGCCCCCACGAAGCCCTAAGTGGCCTCAGAATTGCTTCCAGGAGGGGGGGAGCGGACGAGAGGCGACCAGCATATCGAAGGCACAAAAGAACAATGTTGGACGCTCCGAGGGCATTGGATGTTTCTCTGTTGGGGAGAGTCGTCGTAGGATCGACGATTGCCGACCGAGGGCATGATTGCCTTTCGGCCCTGCAGCCGCACCCCCCCGCGCTTGCCCAGAGACCCCTCGCCACGTCGAGCTAATGTCGTGGACGGAGTCCACAGGTCTGCCCTAGTCTCTACTACATTGCAGGGCCCAGTGCGTGCCAGAATGGCGCAGGCTCCAATGCACCAAAACCGCCCCGGGCTGGCCCCGGGCCGCCCCGGGCCGCCCAGGCAGGCTCCAGGACATGTCGAGAGGGCCCCCAGAAGCCCCCAAGACGGCCCCGGAGAGCCCCGGCACGCTTAAAGATGGGCCCAAGACGCCCGAGATTCGCCCCAGACGGCCCAAGAGGCGTCCAAGACGCCCGAAGAGGCCTCCCAAGAGGCCTCCCAAGAGGGCCCCGAGCGACAGAAATCGTCGATTTCTATTGTGTTTTTCGATGTTTTCGGCCTCCTCGCCTCTTCGGCTTCCCGACGCTCCAAGACGGCCCAAGAAGTCCCCCCGACCGCTCCAAGACGGCCGAAGAGGACCCCAAGAGAGCCCCAAGACGGGCCAGGAGGGCCCCAAGACGGTCCCAAGACGCCCCAGGACGGCCCCAGGACGGCCCAGGAGGCGCCCAAGACGGCCCAAGAGGCACCCAAGACGGCCCCAGGAGCGGCCCAAGACGGCCCAAGACAGCCCAAGAGGCGCCGAGGCGGGCCTCAGACGGCCCCAAGACGGCCCAAGAGGCACCCAAGACGGCCCGAGAGGGCCCTAAGAGCCCCCCCGGGAGGCCCAAAAGAAGGCCGAAGAGGCTCCGAAACGGCCCCCACGAAGCCTTCAGTGGCTTCAGAATTCCCTCCAGGAGCGGGGGAGCGGACGAGAGGCGACAGGCACGCCGCGCTTGCCCAGAGACCCCTCGCCACGTCGAGCTGATGTCGTGGACGGAGTCCACAGGTCTGCCCTAGTCAGCTACAGCGCTGGGATCAGCGCGTGCGAGAAAGGCGAGCAGTGGCAGCGGGCTCTGGCGCTGCTCAGGGAGATGTCGGAGGCGAAGCTGCAGCCCGACGTCATCAGCTACAACGCTGGGATTAGCGCGTGCGGCGATAATGGGGGGCAGTGGCAGCGGGCTCTGGCGCTGCTGAGCGAGATGCATAAGGCGAATCTGGAGCCCGACGTCACCATCTTCAGCTCTCCAGCCATCCCCTCACTTCTCGAGGAGACCGTCCAAGCCACCCGAGTCCCAAGAACAACCCCTGGAGATGCCAAGACTGTGCATCCAGAGAGCTCGATGGGGACGTTTTGGGCGCAACCCAGAGAGGCGCCACACTAGGGGCGCAAGAGAGCCCGTGAGCGCTCCCTGGCAAAACCCTCTATATCTAGGCCTCCTAGATGGGGTCCGAGTTGATGTGGTCGGAGGATCGCGCCGCATCGCCGATGCATCTCCGGCGCGCTGAGCGCGCCAGGGGCGGCGCTGGAGGCGCCGCCAGGGGGCCCCAGCGCCGATCCGAGAAATCCGCGCGGACCTCCGAGTTATCATGCTTATGTCATTGTTCGTTGCCCTGACATATATCCGCATCCACCGCTCACCCCGGAGGGGGGGTCCCAGGACATCGGTTCCCCAGGAGGCGGCCGTGGGCAAAGAGCCCCATCGCGCAGGCGGGCCCCGAAGCTCTTCGGCATCGTGGGGGCCCGCTCCCCGGTCTGTGGGGGCCGTCAAGAAGCGGCCCAGGATGAAGCAGGAGGGCACCAGCCATACACCTAAGTCGGGCATGTCCCTCTACAGGAGGAACATTCAAATCTAGTCCAGAAATCGTGTGGGGACGTTTTTTTATTTCGGTGTGCCTAACTATTTTTGCATCTTTGTGGGATCTTTTTGCTTACCCGTCCGAAATACGCCTGCAGGAGAACATGCCCGACCTTTCTTTACACTCACACAGATCCTGGCCAGGATCACCCTGGGCCCAGGATCGGTGTGTACGCCCTCCTGCCTTGAGCAGGAGGGCGTATACACCGACCCTGTGCCTAGGCCTGGCCTGGCCAGGATCGGTGTGGGTGTAATTACAATTGGTGCCCTCCGATGACGGACGTGCCCGGGTGAAAGGCTCCAGGGCCCTTGGTTTCCGAAAGCCTGGTCAGAGGATGAAAAGGCACCCATACCGCTATCCTTCCCTCGTTTTCCTTGGAGGTCCTCGTCGCCACCGCCCCAGGAGTGCTCCAGACACAGCACCCCAAGATGGCCTAGGGTTCCCCAGCGCACGCCAGTAGCAGCAGAGGCAACAGCAGCAGCAGCAGCAGCGCGGAGGAGCTATCAAGCAGCTAGTAGCGATCAGCTAGCAATGAGCAGCAAGTAGCGGCTCGCATGATCAACAAGCAGCCGTATCAGGCAGCACCGCTTACGCTCCTGATGCAATCAGCAACGCCGACAGCCAGCAACAGCAGCAAGCAGCCTCGCGCGTAGTCCACTTGCAGCCCAAGAGGCCCTGTAACATGCCGCAGAGATACCAAAAGGGTACCATGACAACCTCCTCATCCAGCCACGCACGCGCCAAAACAGACCACTGGGTGCCTCGAAAGGATTAATCTGTTTCACTTGGTGGAGCCTTGTTTGATTACCATGTCTCCTCACATGTCCCATTGGTCCACACTAGTAAGCTACACCGCTGGAATAAGCGCGTGCGAGAAAGGTTGGCAATGGCAGCAGGCGTTGGCACTGCTCAGGGAGATGTGGGAGGTGAAGCTGGAGCCCAGCGTCATCAGTTACAGCGCTGGGATTAGCGCGTGTGAGAAGGATGATGAGATGCGTGCTTTGGCGTTTCTGAGCGAGATGTGATCTGTCAGGTGTCGGATGTGTCACGATCGCACATCGCGAGACTGCGTGTTTCCAAGTCTCTACTCTCCATCTCTCTCTGTCTCTCTATCTCTCGCCTCCCCGCTCTCTCGCTCTCTCTCGCCTTGTCTCTCTATCTCTCTCGCTTTCTTGGGTCTCTCTCTCTCTCTGTCTGTCTCTCCCTTTCGCTCCCTCTCGCTCTTTTATACAATTTTGTGGTTCCCTCTCTCTCACGCTCTCTCTCTCTCTCTCTCTTCCTCTCTCTGCCTCCCTCTCTCTCTTGATATATATATATATATTATATATATATATATATATATATATATATGTGCTTCCCCTCTCCCTCTCTGTCGCTCTTCAGTTGCCCTTTTGTTGCCTACTCTTCCTATGTATGTCTCGACACGCATCATCGCGCACGCACGTGCTGTGCCGTCAGCCCATAGACATCTAGCGGGGGACCGGGTCCGGGGGCCCAGGGCCGGGGCCCGGACCGCAAATGCGGGGCCTGGCGCGCCGGCGCGCCTCGGGGAGGCCGAAAAGAATCGCCCCCGAGCCACCCCGAGCGGCCCCAGAGGGAGGGTTTCGAGGCACCCCCAAGACGCCGTCCAGGGGTCTCTGGCGACGCACGATGCGCTGTAAACTGCCCCGGAGGCCCCCACGACGCCCATGAGAGGCCTCTCAGATGCCGCCCAGGAGCGCCCCGAGAGGGCACCGTCGTTGATTTTCATTGTTTTGTTTGAGTGTTCTTGGCATTCTCGCTGTTTCGTGCTTCCGGCGCTAAAGCACCGCCCAAGAGGCTCCCGAAACCGTTCCAAGACTGCCCAAGAGGCCCCCAAGAGGGCCCCAAGTTGGTCCAAGAGTGCCCCGAGACGGCCCCAGAGCCGCCCAAAACGGCGCAAGAGGGTCCCAAGAAGGCCCCAAAAGGGCCCAAGAGAGGGAACGCGAACTGAAAAAATTATCCCGGCAAAGCAACCTAACAGCCATGTGTAGGAGCATATCTGGCAGCATTCCCTCAGCCTGCATCAGCCTCAGCCTCAGCACGAAGCGACCTAGCTAGAAGGACAAAGCGCTGAATGTACACCGATGTGTTCGACGACTGCGTATGTAATGATGTGACGATATACAGACTGAGCCCTTCGTGAATGTCTACATGTTTTTCTGACGCCTACAAACGGCGCTGACGTGTGTGAGAAAATTGTCCGCGCAGCAAAAGCCGGCGAAGCGTGCGGGAGCTCGCATGCTGAGACAGACTACGTCTGCAGACCGCCAGCTGCAAAAGCTTGCGAGCGGCTCTAGGAAGATGTTTACGGAACGGAGCTACGGAGCTCACCCCAGGAACTCGCATACTGAAAAGGAACCCTGCAGGCTGAGAAGCACCGCAGGATGTCGCATGCTGAAAAGCACTTGTACTGCAGAGCGCTAACATTCCATCTCGGGCTCGGACCCCCCCGTCCTGATCCAGAACGTGTCCGCGACACGTGCAGGCTCACCGCGCACAGCTGCACACGAGCGCAGGCTGAGAAGCACCACGCGCATGCAGGCTGAGAAGCACCACGCGAATGCAGACGGACAGACTGAACAGGACCGCCACAACGCAACCTGCATCTCATGACTCCTCAAGCTCGCGCAGGCCATCCCAGTTGCTGTCGGGCCTTCGCGCAAGCGATCTTCGTCGCGGCAATCTTGTCCGTGAAGAGCTCGGCAAAGGCCTTGGCGATCTGTTCCGGGGGGCCGGATTCGATGATGTTCCGGTCAGGCAAGCCGTGGCTCAAGAGTTGGTTGAAGCTTCTGGGGCGCGACAGGCTGACGTAGTAGGCAAGCCAAATGGACTCCTTCTTGAGTCCTGGCGGAAACGTCCAGTGCACGATGAAGCCTGGGTCCGTCGTCTTGCCCTGGACGCCATGCAGAGTCCCCTGCTTTTTGGGCAGCACGGTCAACTGCGTCCTGGACACCGCGATGGCCGGGCCACCTGTCTTCGCTTTGAACTTCCAGGGGCGCGCCTGCGGGGTGATCGCGAGCACTCCGCGCAGGTCGGGGCCGGCAGGCTGAGAAGCACTGCCAGCTGTCACCGGCGCGGCCTTCAAGAAAAGTTCATCGCTGTCATCGATCTTGACATAGACGGCCTTTGGCATGTAGTAGAGTACGACCACGCCGTCCGAGACAATGGACGGGCGGCCCTCCACCGGAGGCTCCAGAGCGTGCAGCTCTATGCCTACCACTTTGCCTGGCGCGCCACGGACATACTTCGGCGGCAAGACGGATTCTGTCAGGATGACCTCCATGCCAACGAAGAGCGGCAGCAGCCCCGGCATTTTTGCGGTAGCGCCGATGTTGGGCTCCGCGCGCATCTCGTCGTAATCAGGCTTCGCGAGGCGCGCAGCTGGTCTGTCGATTGCTGGGACGTAAAAGAGCAGCTGGCCAGCATCGTGCGCATCAAGCTTGGCCTGTGCATGCATGGCGTAAGAGACGATGCGCCACTCATAGGCCGACTCGTACCAGCCTCGTGCTGCACGCAACCGAGGGTCCCACTGAGGTGGCTGAGCGGCTTGGCTGCTGCTGGCAGCAGGCTGAGCAGCACCGCTAGAGCTAACGACCTCTGTTTTGACGATCGCCTGCCAGCTCTCGTCAGAGATCTTTTTTCCGCCTGGAGTTCTCATGGCGTGGAGAACCTCGAGTTGCAACGGGTCTGTAAAGCGCTGCATCTGCACGAAATCGATGACGTACTCGATGTCGGCGAGCAACTTCCTACCCTGTTGGTGTTCGTAGGATTGGCCCGCGTGAGGCGCCAGCAGGGAAGCGGTGGCGGGGACTGGCGGCAACTGGTAGAAGTCTCCGCACAAGATCTTCACAGGCATGCGTCCCCACGTCTCCTGCGGGCGCATGTACTTCGTGGGGTCCAGGTTGTAGCGCAACGCCCTGCCGTAGGTCGTGCGCAGTGCATCTGCATGCAGCAAAGGCCCCGGCACAGCACCCAGCTCATCGATCACGTCGACGCCGAGTGTGCCTGTGAGGCGATCCAGCTTTTTCTGCGTCTGTGGCGTCAAGCGCAGCCTGGCTGTCTGCATGGAATCCGACATGAGCAGGCCATTGGAGGAATGCATGGTCCTGCCGCGCGGGCCGAGGTTGTGTGCGGCGTGGTTGGACTGCGCTTTGCCGAGGTACCCCTGCTCGCCGAAGTAAGTGATGGCCATCGGCTCCACCACTTTGGAGAGGGTGCGCGTCTTGCCGACACCGCCTCCACCGAGCCAGATCGCTCTGTGGTTGCCTGTCGCGGACGCCACGGGGAGGAGATGCGTTGTCTTGTCTGGTCTGCCGTCAAAGCGTTTCTGCAGAGACAACGCAAACAACGCCACCGCGTCAATCTGCTCCTCCGTGCAGTGGGCATCAGTGACGAGCTTCCACGCAACAGCCGCCGGGCCCTGCATGGCCAAGAGCTGCGGAACGAGTTCTGGTTGGGCGTCCTCGGCAGCAGGCTGAGGAGCACCGCTGGGGAGCCAGTCGTCCGCAGCATCGGGCAAGATCTCTCCATCCGGGCTCGCTTGCTTCTTTTGGAGCGCAATGCTTTGCCGCTGTAGGGCGAGCATGTCAGAGAAGGTCTCGTCCAGCCGCGTGCCCTGATGTTCCCGCGCGCCGCTGCTGGCTGGCAGTGCAAAGCTGGGCTGCAGCATGCCGCTGTACGCTCGGTCGAGGTTCTTCAACTGCTTATCGGCGTAGCTGAGGCGGCCCTTCTGGTCCAAGCGCTGCAGTTGGTCTTGCTGTAGGGCCAGCTCGGTTGCTCTGACGTGGTCCCGCAGCGGAAACCGGGAGATCTCGGTAATCTCGGCGTCCTCCACGTCCTCCTCTACGTCGCTGCCGCCGCCTCCACCCACGTCAACGAGCTCCAGCGGGACTCGCCCCTTGAGCCCTTCGGCATCGCTCGCGGAGTCTTCATCCGCCTCGAGGTGTGCAGTCGTTGCTGGCCGAGGCTTAACCCGCGCCTCCGCCGCGAGGTCCACGTGCGCCAGCACGTCTCGCGCCACGTGCGCGCAGAACTCCGCCAGGGTGCACTGTTCCTCGTGCCACCGGCAGTGGTGGTCACTGAAGGCGAGGATGCGCCGTGCCGCCTCCGCTGGCATGCGCCGCGCCAGCTGGGACCTTGCGAAGTGCGCTAGGCTGAGGAGCACCAGCTCGCCCTCCTCGAGGTTCGCCCGGGGCTCTTTCAGCTCGGAGAAGAGGGTCGTGTCCGCGAGCACGAGCCTCTTGCGGGCCAGGCGGCTCCTGGAGTCTGCGCGCGCTGCCAACACGTGGATCTCCGCGCACCGAAGCCGCCACGCCCGCTCGAACGAGTATGGGCGCACGGCGGGGCAGTCGCAGTTCCTCAGCATATGGCTGTACTGAGTAACGCAGCCACAAGAGAGGGGACACTCGCACGCCCAAGGCGTGAAGAGGAGGGCCTTGAAGAGCGAGTTCTGCTCGGGGTCCTGTGCCCAGGTCGGGCACTGGAAGCCATCGATGGTGGGGACGTGACTCCGCGTCAACCGGACCTCCTGCATGCACCGCGGAGCCAAGACGTAGTGGCTCTCGAAGGCGAAGAATCGCGGTCCAGAAGCTTTGACCCGGCTCGGCTTCAGGACTCGCCGGACGTACATCCTGTAGACGTAGTACGGCATGGTCTGCAGGCGAGGGCCTCTGTGGGCGTAGTCGTCGGCCGTGTTCGTGCTGGTGGTGCACGCGTGCATGTCCTCGCACTCCGCACCGCCACCTTGCTCGTCACCAGCAGGAGTGTCTCCAGGAGGCTGAGGAGCACCGCTGGTGTCACCTGCTGCGTCCTCCTCCTCGTTGTCG